ATAACAATTTCAGTTTTATATAAACTCATTTTATCTACAACCAAAAAATCGAATAACCGAACCGCAAAATCGAATGTCCACCCCTAATCAAAATCATATACAATTTGTTCTCCGTGAAGGAGAATATTGTATAGTATATAAATCATTTAATAGTAACGAGATGGTCCATTTCAACAGTACACAAAGACCAATATCGTTGAAGGTTTTATTAGCATTTTGATAGGCAATAATATCTTAATTGGGACCATTTGTTGGACCAACCGACCGATTTGCCTTTTGTTTGTATATGTTTTCCTCGTTAAGAATTTTGCCGCCAAAAAGAGGAGAAAGATTTTTCTGATTTTTGAGTTGCGACGTGAATGCAACGTGGGTCCTACTTCATTCAAATGAATACCATTGTTTTTTTTTGTTTTTTCTTTCAAATAACACATAAAGTGTATTCGGTCGGATATTGGACGTTTCTAGCAAATATTAATACATTTATTTGTTTTTCTTCAATGTGTGTTTAATAAATTACTTTGTTGTTTGCATTTGTTGTATTTGATACAGTATATATAATAATATTGGAAAGTTTGCCAACAACAACAAAAAGTGCCTATGAAACAGCGCAACAACGTGCTTCACAACTTAATCTCAGTGCCGGCGAATATCATATTCAAAGCCATTTATCGAGAGGTAAAAAACTCGATTTCAGCTAGAAGACACTGAAGGAATTTCAACAATCATGTGATCCACTCTCCAAGACCATAATTATGCTAATTTGTTTTTTTTTTTTGCAAAATAGTATAGACTTTAGATTAACGTCTGTAAAATATAAACCTTGATATTCACCTTTTATAAAATAAACAACAAAAGTGTGTTTATTAGACTTTTGAATCTAAACTATGTAAAAGGTGCTAACGACTATTATATATAGTGGAATGCTAAAATTGTATGAATGGTGCAAAATCATTCTCATTATTGTTCAAAATTTGAAAATGTCTTTTCTGTTATAATCTATTAGCTGGTAAAACAAATATGAAAATCCAACTTTTAAATCCATTTACTAAGTATAAATAAGTTGAAATAAGTTCATCAAACTAATACGTACGTAAGAAACTAAGAACCAATGGAATTTGAATAATGGTTATTTTGAATCGTTTCTTTACGAATTTGAAATGAGTTGAAATAAGTTCATCAAACAAAACATCAATTAGTTGAAATAAACTCATTTTGTATAAATTCTGTAACGAACGTATGTTATCGTGAACACTGAAATCGATCGCGTAGGAACACCGAACACATACTTTGGTATGCATACAAATAAAAAAATTTGATGTATATCAAAATATACATGTATTGTCAAATGCAGTCATGAGCCATACCATGTTAAAAAAAAACTTTAAAAAGGCTGCAAAATTTAAACAGAGTAGCGAGGGAGAGAAAAAATTAGTCTTTGAGATTTGAACTCGAAAAGGCATGAAGCATTTTTAGAGCTTATTGTTTTATTTTAAATTACAAAGTAAGTAAGTACTTTACATTGCAGCATTTTTAATAGATGCAAAAAATACACACTAAATATATTTGAAAAAAATCAAATAAGTAGTGATAATTCAATAGTTGTGTCACGTTGTCCGAGAGGTGGTTATTATTAAATGAGCTTACATGTCACATTGGTATTTATGGTTATTATTAAATGATGTATTTGTCACATTGGTATTCGTCTTGTGACTTGAAGGCCGCGATGATTATTGATTAGTTTGAATTTCCTTCTTATGGAGAAATCAATTAGTGATAAGTTGAGTATATAGTGTCATTATATATTAGACTATGTTTATAGCTTAATTATGTTTTCTTTTTGAGTATCAGACTCCTAACCGTACAAATTAGACTTTCCAAATCCACTATCTTAAAATTGTTCGATATATAACAATATTGCTAATGAAACTAATTATACTTCAAAGTGTGTAATCTAAATTTATTTTCATTAGTAGCATATTTCTGTTCGATATAAATAATCATTTAGATCTGGTAAATCTAGACAATTAGTCATCATTCTTTTCCAAATGAATGATTACAATTTTAGATATCTTAAGAGAAAATTCAACAAAAAAATTGTTCAAAAATAGAAATAAGTTTTGGTTCATGATGAGTATTGATTATAGAGAAAGAGTACTAAACTACCCCACTTTTGATGTGTAATATTACTAACCACAGTTTAAAATATAATGCAAATAGTCAAAATGGTGTAATTAAGCTTCTGAATTAAAAGTCCATCTATTTCAAATTATATATATAAAGTTGAAAACAAGATAAATGGAAAATCAAAGTGATGTAAAGCGCC